GCTCACAGCAACTTCAAATTCTTGGGCCTAAGCGACTCTCTTGCCTCAGCCTCTCAAGTAGCTGGCACTACAGGTGCCCACTACAACGCCCAGGTTTTTTGGTCGTAGTTGTCATTGTTGTTTGCTGGGTCTGGGTTGGATTTGAACCCACCAGAGCCAGTGTATGTGGCTGGCGCCCTAGCTGCTTGAGCCTACAGCAGTACATTGTAAAAAGCTGTTTTACTTTTAAGCCCAAGAGTTTGAGTTTGCTGAGAGCTGTGATGCCACGGCACTCTACCAAGAATGATAGTGAGACTCTGTCTCAAAAAAAAAAGCATTTTACAATAGAAGTAGAAAGAATAGGATAATGCACAAAACTATATCTTTTTTTTTAAACTACACTCCAAAAGAACTATTTGAATCACTTTTTTTTTTTTTTTAAGAGACAGAGTCTCACTTTGTCGCCCTTGGTAGAGTGCCGTGGCATCACAGCTCATAGCAACCTCCAACTCCTGGGCTTAAGTGAGTAGCTGGGACCACAGGCACCCACCACAACGCCCAGCTATTTTCTGTTGCAGTTTGGCCAGGGCTGGGCTCGAACCCACCACCCTTGGTATATGGGGCTGGCGCCCTACTCACTGCACCACAGGTGCCGCCTGACTTAAATCATCTTTTAAAATATGAAAGTATCTCTATCTTACTATAAAGAAATGCTTTATAAACTGACTTTGCAATGATTGTTGTAGTTAAATTAAAACATATACATTTTCACCATCTAAATTATATATTGTATTCCTTGGTATTACATCTATGTTTCTACATATTGAAAAAATTAACCTCTGATTAAGGACTATGTAAAAAAAAAAATGCCTAGAGAGTTAAAGAATACCTTGTTTTACACACCACTGCAATTGTGCAAATACATCAGAGAGAAGAACTTCGTTCAAAGCTTCATAAAACTGGGTAAATACATCACAAATAGCATAAAGTGCATGATTGCAGGTTGTTGTCATCCATTCAGATTTCTGGAAACACAATAAAAAGATACTGCTTAAAAGCCACTCATCTCCCAGTGAGATGGGCACTCTTATACCCTACCGGCAAAACTATTGAGCAATTTGGCAATTATGTATCAATGGTCTTAAAAATGTTCATGTCCATGGACTCAATAATAACACTACTTCCAATAATCCACACTAAAGAAATAATCAAAGATTTATGAACAAAGGTTTATGAGTAAAGATGATATTTTTACAAACTATAAAAACACAACCAAAAGTCCAGCAGTATGAACATTAAATTAAGCACAGCCACATAAAAGAATATTACAGAGTTTATTCAAAATGATACTTGAATATAAAGAGTATGAGATTATGCTAAACTCATACCTGACACCAAAATTTAAACCCTAAAAATGATGGCCGGGCATGGTGACTCACGCCTGTAATCTCAGCACTCTGGGAGGCCAAGGTTGAGTGGATTGCTTGAGATCAAGAGTTCGATACCAGCCACAGCAAGAGTGAGACCCTGTCTCTGCTAGCCGGTCATGGTCCACGACAGTAATCCCAGTTACTTAGGAGGGTGAGACAAGAGGATTGCTCAAGCCCAAGAGTTTGAGGTTGCTGTGAGTTATGATGCCATGGCATTCTATCCGGGGTGACAGGTTTAAATTTTCTCTCAAAAAAAAAAAAAAAAAAAAAAAAGAAAAGCCATGAAATTACCAGAATATATATAGAGGGATATTTATAAAATCATGGAAAAGAGAAGAGCTGCTAAGCCTGATTCCAAAAGTGGAAGCCAGAAAGGAAATAAAGTGATTGATTTGGTTACTTAAACCTCAAATTTTCCAAAAATAAAAAAGAAATAAAAATAACAAAGTGAGCAAATGATTTGCAGCTCTTGTAAGGAAGGACATGTGATATAGTTTCTATGCTTAAAAATTCATAAATCAATAGAAAAAATGAGTAACCTAGCAGATGAACTAAGGATATAAATAAATAAAATATCATGAAATGATTCAATTCATAAAAGAATGATTTATGCTATGACAGAAAATATGCATGCTTCTAGCAATTAAAAAAGTACTTTAGTGTGATACGTTTGGCCTATCAAATTAGCAATGACTAAATAAATTAAAATATGCAGAGCTAGAATAAATACAGACAACAGGAACTCTCATGCACTGTTTGTTTTTTTTTTTGAGACAAAAGACTCTCAAGCTGGGTGGCACCTATGGCTCAATGAGTAGGACGCTGGCCCATTTACCGAGGGTAGCAGATTCAAACCCGGCCCAGGCCAAACTGCAACAAAAAATAGCTAGGCATTGTGGCGGGCCTGATGTCCCAGCTACTTGAGAGGCTGAGGTAAGAGAATCACCTAACCCCAAGAGCTGGAGGTTGCTGTGAGTTGTGACGACACAGCACTCTACCAAGGGCGAACAAGTGAGACTCTGTCTCTAAAGAAAAAAAAAAAGTCTCAAGCTGTCGCCCTGGGTAAAGTGCTGTGGCAGCACAGCTCACAGCAACCTTAAACTCTTGGGCTTAGCCTCCCAAGGCTTCTCTTGCCTCAGTCTCCCAAGTAGCTGGGACTACAGGCCACCATAACATCTGGCTATTTCATGCACTGTTGACAGAAGAGTTTAAATGGCTACAGGTTTATTTAGAAGTCAGCTTAGCAGTAGGTATCAAGAGGCTTAGTTGTGTGCAAGTCCTAATCTGGCAGGTGGGCCACTTGTCCTAAAACAAAACAAAACAAAACCTAAAACCAAAAAACACAAATGTAGCTACACAAAATGGTAATTTCAGTGCCACCCAGAAAAATGGGAAACAATCCAAATGTTGACAGATAGAACATCCACAATTAGGAATGTTTTGCAGCCATTAAAGTTATAGTAGGAAAAAAGTTACGGTTGTGGAAAAACACTCATGTGTTAAGTTTAAAAACTAGTTTTAATATATGTGGTAGGATTTCATATTTGTAGAAAGAAAGAAGGTAAATCTCACACACACACATGTGTATAGAGGCAGGACCAGAAGTGCTTAACAGTGGCCGTCTGTCGAAGACAGCTGTGGGTCTTTATGTTGTTTTTTGTCTGTTTTCTGATTTTTCAGTAATGAATATTTTTTGGTTTTCTTTTTCTTAAAAAGAATCTCACTCCTTCACCAGGGATAGACTGCAGCAGGATCATCACAGCTCATCTCAAACTCCTAGGCTCAGGTGATCCTCCTGCCTCAGTCTCCTGAGCAGCCGGGACTACAAGTGCCCACCACCATGCCCAGATATATATTCCCCCCCCCCCCAGACAAAGTCTCAAGCTGTTGCCCTGGGTAGAGTGCTGTGGCATCATAGCTCACAGCAACTTCAAACTGTTGGGGTTAAGCAATTCTCTTTTTTTTTT